TCTTGTAGCCGGCCGAATTGTCGACCAGCATGTCAATGTTAGGTAGAGGAAAAGCATCCTTCGGGCAAGCCCGGTTGAGGTCGGTATAGTCAACACACATTCTCCATTTTCCATTATTCTTTTTAACAAGTACAACATTTGACAGCCAGGTGGAGTACCGGGCTTCAGAAATAAAATTTGCCTCTAAGAGGTCTTTTACAGCTTTTTCAGCAGCCTCTGTTTTTTCTGGAGACTGCCTACGCCTACGTTGTACTACGGCCTTGGCGGCTGGATCAATGGCGAGGTGATGACAGGCGACCTCAGGGTCGAGCCCGGGCATCTCTGCAGCGCTCCAGGCGAAGAGATCAGCATTCTCGCGCAGACAGGCCTTGATTTGCTTCCTGGCCAAGTCGGGGAGGTCCTTGCCAATCTTCACTCCCTTGGTCGGGTCTGCTCCGAGGGGAACGAGTTCGAAATCGCCGTCCGGAATAGGTCGGAGGGGGATTTGCTCGCCGCTGGATGGCTCGTCTTGGTCGAAGCGGGCGTCGAGGGCTATGGAGTCGACCTTTGGTGGAGCCTTCTGAACTTCTACCTCGGGAGATGCTCTGTCGGGCTCTTGCTTTGTCTTCTTGATGGGTCTGGTGCTAGTACCCACGTCGAAGGTATCCCGTCCTCTTGAAGCGGCGTTGAAGCACCTGCGGGCAGCGGCGAGGTCGCCCTGGATGGTGGCTACCCTCGCCCTTTTGGTATAGAACTTCATTTTTAGATGGACAGTTGAGGGGACCGCTGTCAGCTCCGCCAATGTCGGCCTCCCCAAGATGCAATTGTATAGGGACGGGCAGTCAATGACGAGGAAGCGGACCTTCACCTGTCTTGTAGCAGTTCCTTCCCCGAACGTCACGAGGAGCTCGACATATCCCCAAGGTTTGGAAGTCGAGCCGTTGAAGCCTTGGAGGTCCGAACCTATATATGGAGACAGATGTGAGTCATCCAGTTGCAAGGTCCGGAACAGCTGGGTGTACATCACGTCGACGGAACTCCCTTCGTCGACCAGGATGCGATGCACGTCAAAATTGGCCATCTTTGCCCTTATCAGCAAGGGGATGACTGCGTTCGGGGCTCCGCCGGGGAGCTCTTCTAAGTAGAAGGTGATGGGCTCTGATCTGCCCTTCACTATTTCGAAAGTCACAGTTTGTGGAGGAGCTGCGTCGACCAGTTCGTCCAACTTCCTCTTGGCTGAGTTGATGGTGAGGTCGTTGAACCCGCCCCCGTTGATGACCATGGCGGAGGGGAAGTATTCCCACCTGCTGTGTGTCGTCAGGGGCTCCTGCAGGAGCTCGGGAAGTTCGAAATCCTCGGGCCTGGTTACCGAGAAGGCGGTCTGGATTGGCACCGACTCGTCAGATGGTCGGGCATCTTCTTCGGGATCCTTTGCTTCGTGGGCGTCACGACGGGGAGCGTCGTTTCGCCTGTACTGTGCAAGCCTCCCTCCTTTGATGAGGGTTTCAATGGCATCCTTCAGGTGGACGCAGTCCTCTGTCAAGTGACCATGACTCCTATGATACTGACAGTATTTATTTTTGTCTACTCCTGGCTTGGCAGGAGCTGGCCGGGGACGCTTGACGCCACCGTCTTTAAAATCTGTGCTAGCACACTCCGCCAAAATACGCTCGCGGGAAGCCGTGAGCGGAGTGTACTCAGTGAACCGGCCCGAGGGGCCCCTTTGTTCCCGGACCTCCCGGGGTCGATCTTCCTTCCTCTTCTCTCCGGTCCGTCGGGGAGGAGGGTCTTGTCTCGAGCTGCTGCCATGATTGCGAGCCCTGGAGTCTCGTGCCCTGTTGGCAGCTTCTCTCTCCTCGTAGTCCATGTATGCTCGGGCTTTGTCGAGGAGAGCATCAAAAGTTGCAGGTGGCTCAATACCCACAGCTTTTCTGAATTCTGTGCCGGGGAGGAGGCCCCTCTCCAGCAAGTACCTTTTCATATGGTCCGCGCAGGGGACCTGTATTGCTTCCCGGTTGAAGCGGTTGATGAATTCCCTCAAGGTCTCATCCTGTCTTTGGATGATGGCCTCGAGGGCCGCCTCGGTCTTCGGGTGGCTCCGAGAAGCTGTGAAGGAACTGATGAACTGGTTCTTCAGGTTCCGCCACGAGGTGATGGAGCCCGGGGCGAGTCCTTTATACCAGTCCATGGCCGCCTTCCTGAGAGTTGTGGGGAAGAGACGGCACTTGATGGGCCCCCCGACATTATGGTAATGAAGCATGGCTTCGAATCCGTCGATGTGGTCGACCGGGTCTGCCACGCCATCGTACTCCTTCAGATGTGGGGGCTTTTCCATGCCCGGGGGAATAGGAGCGTCCATGATGGCCTGCGACAGGGGACCGCGGGGGTCGTCCTCGTCGCTCCTCTCCGGAGAAAGAGAAGGGGTCCTGTAGTTGTGTCTGGCACGCTGATCGTGCTGAGATTCCCTCGAGCGTGATGCTCGGTGGTTGAAGGTCACACGCCCGTCTCTGTTGTGCCTCCTGTCGTGCCTTGATGGGTCGCGACTGGGTTCTTCGGTAGGGATGACGGGCTGTCTCTCATATTGGGGCCGCCTCTGCTTTGGCCGGGGAGAGGGGCTCCTAGAGTTCTCCCTGTAGTGTCTCCGCGGGGGAGTAGGGTGTCGAACTTCTTCGACCCGAGGAGGTGGAGATGGTGGCCTCTGATGCCTCCTCGGGGGTCGTCGATCATTTTCAAGTGCCCTTAGTCTTTCTCCTTGGGCGAATAGGAGATAATTTGTCTGGTTGATGGCCGCGAACAGTGCCTGAGTCGTGGCATCTGCCCCGGCAGGGACTTGGACTTCATAGAACCGGGCAGCTCTGCGATAGGCGAGAGCCTCCGGGTCGTCTTCGAGTGCTGGAGGAGTCGTCGAGGAAGACGCAGTGTTCCCGTCCCTGCGGGTGGAAGGTCCAGGGGCGGTTGTCACAGGGATGGCATTGTGGCCGGCATCACTGGGATTGTCCAGGTGTCCATTCTTGTCCGAGGGACCGTTGTTAGTGTCGGTGACACGGACGTGCTGTTTTTCACGAGCTGGATCAGCCATGACAGGTAATTGAATTGAGCTTTGGTCTTTGGAATTGTTCGTTAGACGGGGAAGCTGTTTCCCACAGACGGCGCCACTGATCTGACCTGATCAGAAGGTTTGGACCGTCACGGCTGACTCCGAGCAGAAGGCTTTTTGAACGAGGAGGGGGGGGGGGGTACCTGCAAGGCACTCCGATGCTAAAGTCAGTGGGAGTACGAGCAGATAATAGAGTTGAGGTTAGAATGATGAATCCCTGACCCTCTGGAAACAGAGGGTATTTATAGCCCCCAGCGTTGGGCCAAGGTTCCTTCATTGGGCCGGGCGGATTTGGCCCAATGGAGGAACTGCCAGGTTCTACGTGGGTAGTGGGGACCTGCACGTGGTCCCCTTCCTGGATGTGCTGCGTGAAGTGCGGGCGGACGGAGACGCGGTCTTTCCGGAGTATCGTTGGGGGAACGGCGGACTGAGTCTGCCCTAGCCGGGTAGCTCGAGACTATGTCGAGCTGCGCAGCACGGTGCCGAGCTCGACGCCAGGACCTCGAGCTGGACAGCGAGTCGCGAGCTGGACGCCAGGACATAGAGCTGGACGGCAGGGTGTCGAGCACGACTTCACCGCTTGGGGTTGGACATCGAGATGTCGAGGTGGACATCAGGGTGTCGGGCATGGATGTGACCCCCTTTGCCCAGTGTGGTCCTTAGTGAGTCCCTTTGGACTGGGTCTTAGTAATGCTTTTGGGCCTGTCGGGCCCAGTCCAGAACATATATATATATATATATATATATATATATATATATATATATATATATATATATATATATATATATATATATATATATATATATATATATATATATATATATATATATATATATATATATATATATATATATATATATATATATATATATATATATATATATATATATATATATATATATATATATATATATATATATATATATATATATATATAAAAGAATATTAAATTATAAGTTAAATAATTTTATAAAAAAAAACTCAAAAATTATATTTTAATATTTTTATTTTGGAATAATTTATCTCTCAAAATCATTTATAAGTCTTTGAAACAAAGGATAGTTCGAGTTTGATGAAATATTATCTCTCAAACAAATTATAGAAAACTCTTGCACATTAAAAACTAGTATCAAATACCTTCACAAATTATAGAAAACTCTTGCACATTAAAAACTAGTATCAAATACCTTCACAAATTATAGAAAACTCTTGCACATTAAAAACTAGTATCAAATACCTTCACAAGTGAACATAAATGTTAGCTAAATGAATCTCATTTTTAGGACAAAGTTCAGAGTGACCTAACATATTTAATACAGAATATGGTAACTGACCGAAAAGACCCTGCATCTAAATTCATTGACCCTAATATAAAATTCAAACTCGCATTCAATTTCTTATGATGACAAACTTTAATATTAACAATGACCGTTACACCATACAACAGAAAGATGTAGAAGCATAATTATGAAATTGAAAAGTGCCTCTCAACATCTTTCTAATGTATTTTCAAACAAAGTAAAACATAATCAAATTAGTAGTTTAAACTACAAAAAAGAGGTTGCAGTTTCATTTTTCTTATCAAACGACACTTCCAAACCAAAGGCAAGTAAACAGTTTCTGCTTTTTCTTTTTCTAAAGCATATATCTTAAATTCTTGGTTTGTCCTTCTAAAAAAAATTCATGTTGTTGAAGGATGTGTTATGAAGTATTCTTCTAATCTAACTTCACACTTTCCCTATACTTACTCCATACAAGATTCCTATACATGCTTTAAAATGTACTATTACAATGTGATTTACTTGATGATTTTTTTTGTCTTGAAGAATCAATATTTATCGAGAATTTGGTTTGTTAGTGTTGAGTATGACTCATATTCGCGGATAAAGTGGACAAACACATACCATACAAGATAGAGTCACCATGCCATTTGGTTTGGTCTCGGCTTGGAACAAGCGGAGACGAAGCAAATCTCAAGATCATTCAGACCCATGTAAAATTCCCTCTTCTTTCTCGATTTTTCATTTTTGTAAAATTTTACTAAATGGTGTGTGTGTGTCCCTATAGCATCAATTTTGTAACATTTTAGACATTCAATGTCTTTTTCAGGGATTTATAAACCTGCAGAGTTTTGGCAACTTGAAGATCAAACATCACAATCTACTAATAGGATGCATGGATCATCTGTTTTCACACTCAAAGAGATGGAAGATGCAACTTGTTCATTCAGCGAAGATAATCTTGTTGGAAAAGGAGGATTCGGTAGAGTCTATAGGGGCATTTTGAAGTCAGGAGAGGTAACAGTGCGGCCACAATTGAGGTTGCACACAAAAATTTTAAACTAATAATAACAATAGCATACAATGTTTTTCCCTGAAGGTTGTAGCTATCAAGAAAATGGAATTGGCAGCAATTAAAGCGGCTGAGGGAGAGCGCGAATTTCGCGTAGAAGTGGACATATTGAGTCTACTAGACCACACAAATCTTGTTTCTTTGATAGGTTATTGTGCTGATGGAAAGCATAGATTCTTAGTTTATGAATATATGCATAATGGAAACCTGCAAGATCATTTGAATGGTATGTGATGTACCCAAAATCTACACGATCTCTTAATTTCCTACATTACATGTAACCAATGTTTAATTTTAGGAATGAGGGAAAGAAAAATGGATTGGCCTCAAAGATTAAGAGTGGCATTAGGAGCTGCAAATGGCCTTGCTTATCTCCACTCAAGTTCTTGTGTTGGAATTCCTATTGTACATAGAGATTTCAAATCCACCAATATTCTTTTAGATGCTAATTTTGAAGCAAAGGTATAGATAGTTACTTAGCTTCCTAGAATGTCTTGTTTAACATAAAACAATATATTTAACGAGTAAAAACTAACAAGCATTTTGTAGATATCGGATTTTGGATTTGCAAAGCTAATGCCAGAAGAACATGAAATACACGAAACTACCAAAGTACTTGGTACATTTGGCTATTTTGACCCGGAGTATACATCGGTGCGCATAGCTAAATTTCATTTGCAACAACATCATTTTGTTCTTATCATTTATTAAAGTAGCACTAATAGCCATTTTATTTCATGAACAGACTGGAAAACTGACTCTACAAAGTGATGTTTATGCTTTTGGTGTGGTTCTTCTAGAGCTTTTGACAGGTCGTCGAGCTATAGATCTAAATCAAGGTCCAAATGATCAAAACCTTGTACTGCAAGTAAGCATTATTTTTCGATAATATATACACCTTGATTGTTTTTACTAGACAATTGATTTTAATATGGTTGGCATTGATGTATAGGTAAGGCACTTACTGAATGACCGCAAGATGCTCTGTAAGGTGATTGATCCAGAGATGGCTCGAAATTCTTATACCATTGAATCGATATTCATGTTTGCGAATCTCGCATCACAATGTGTTCGTCCTGAGAGTCATGTGAGACCTTCAATGATAGATTGTGTCAAACAAATTCAAATGATTATCTATACAAATGCAAAAGGGTTGGGAATGGTTATGCATAGTCTGAGAATGCTCTAGTGACAGAAATACTTAAGTATACATACTATTATTTGAGTTAGATAATTCATGTTATCAAAATGAATGAATAATGTTAGTCAGAAATATTTGGCACGTTTGTCCATAAAACGATACTGGATTTTGATAGTGTTATTACAGATTATGTTCCTGCCTTGATTTCAGAGAACCTGCAAAACTAAGAAAACTAAGACTAATCTTGAATCCTAGTTAGTCCTTTCATTTGAGACTAATCTTGGAATTGAAAATTAAATCTGAAATTAAAAACTTAAAACTAAAACTAATTTTAGTTTTTAATTTGAGCTGTCCACAAGGCCCAAGACGAAAGCCCCAATAATAAAGCAAGGGTAACACGTGCGAAGAGCAGGTAGATCTCCATTCACTCTTAGATAGACAATTCCGCTTTCTGGAGCATTGATGGCTATCCAGATAGTTGTCTGCATTATGCTCCTCACTACCGTTTCCACTATTTGAGAGGGAAAGGGTGTTAAATTTAAATATTTAAATTCATTCTCACTCTCCTATTACTTTTTAGTATCTTACTGACTTTGGCGTCGGCGTAATAAACTCTACTTCATCGTTCACCGAACAATTCTAATTTCATTTAGAATAGTTTTTATATTTTCAAAACTGATAACAGAAAACTTCTTCAAATAACTCAATAACAAATTTATATTCAACTTTGTTTGTTGTCGACTAAAGTGAATTCTTAATTTTGAAAATTTTAAGACTATGTTTAAATTGATAGAACTAAATTGCCGAACCATGCTCCACACGAGATTGATTTAAATCTTTACCTCAAATATTATTTTAAATAAATATATATTTTAGTAAATATAGTTATATATAATATATACTCATAATAATAATAATAATAATAATAATAATAATAATAATAATAATAATAATAATAAATATTAAAAATTGGTGTTGTCTCCATAGGTGACATACCCTTTGGCTTTATGTACTAGATATGAAAATTGGTGTACATCTCCTGTCATATGCTTTGAACATCCACTATCAAGATACCAAACATTTGATGTGGATTTCAAGCATACCTACAAAAACAAATTATTCTTTGTTAGGTACCCAAGTTGCCTTGGGTCCTTCATAGTTAGTTCCCTTTTTCACCCACACATAATGCCCACTTGCTATACTAAAGTTTCTAACATAGCAAGCATTAGGTGTATGGCCTTTAATACCACAATAAAAACAAGTAGGTTCAAAGTTACTTCTATATCTAGAAGGATAAGATTTCTTTTTAGGAAATGTTTTCTTTTTCGATACATTAGCCTTTTTCTTTTGATGATTATGAACAACTTACTTCTTTTCTACTTTCTTGGGATTGGAACTATTACTAGCCTTTACAAAAACAGTGGGATTGTTACTTGGTTTCTTAGAATTCACATAACCAAGACCTCTTTTATCATTTGGATAACATTGTTGGCTTAGTAATCCTTCCAATCCTATTTGTCCTTTTTCATATCGTTCAATGACTCTTTTCAATTGAACAATTTGAAATACATTTGATTCACACTTGGAGCATGCAAAGTTTTCCTTTTCTTTAATAAAATTTTATTTTTGAAGATCAAAATCTTTAGTCATGGTGTCAATTTTTTCTAGACAAATTAAAAGTTCTTTTTCTTGATTTGACACCTTTTTGTATAAACTTTTGCATTCTCCCAAGAGTTCATGAATAGCACCTTGAACATCATCATCAAAAAGATTAAATTCATTACTAACCTCTTCTTCATCGTCGGAGTGATGTGAAGCCATCAATGCTAGATTTGCACATTCGTCGCTTTCCGAATCAGATGAAGAACTTATCTCATTTTCTTCCCGTGCAACATAAGCCTTTTTGTTCTTGAACTCCTTTTTACCTTTGAATCCATTTTTCTTGGAGAGTTTTGGATAATCCGGCTTTATGTGACCTTGCTTTCCACATTCATAGCATGTGATATCTTGTGTTGATGTGGAGGCTTCTTTGTCTTTATGCTTATAGAATTTCTTTATTTTAACAAAGTTAGCATTATGAAGATTATTTTTATGACCAAAATATTTTCCTAACCTTTTTACAAGAAGCAAGAGATTTTCATCTTCCTCCGATGCATCTTTATCTTGACTTTCTTTTGAATCAACTTTCAAAGCAATGCCTTTGGATTTCTTCTCATTATTCTCATGTTTTTCAAGTCTTCCAAGTTTCGTCTCATATTCTTGAAGCTTTCTGAAAAGTGTTGCGGAAGTCATAGTTGCTAGGCTTTTCTTTTCGGATATTGCCGTCACTTTTGGTTGCCATTCCCTTGTTAAAGATCTAAGCACTTTAAGATTTAATTCATCGTTTGTTAAAGTTTTACCAAGTGCCTTCAAATGGTTTGTCAAGTGAACGAATCTCTTTTGCAAGTCAAGGATGGATTCTCCGGGCATCATTCTGAATAATTCATATTCTTGACTCAAAGTGTTCAATCTAGACCTTTTGACTTCGGCGGTTCCTTCATGAGTTTCTACAAGAGTGTCCCAAATTTCCTTTGTCATTGTACATGCCGATACTCAGAAAAATTCATCCATACTAAGAACACTTTGGAGAATATTGATTGCCTTTTTGTCAAAGAGAACTTTTTTCTTATCATCGTCATCCCATGATGCTTTAGGCTTTGATGACCCAACACCATTGACAACACACACCGGAGTAAATGGACCATTCTCAACAGCATTCCATATTTCTTCTCCTTGCGCTTCAAGATGAGCCTTCATGCGAATTTTCCAAAAGTCGAAGTATTCACCACAAAACAGTGGAGGCTTGTTGTTACTGCCACCATCTTTGAAAACCGAATTTTGATTTGGATTTGCGGAAGCCATTCTGGATCTTTAGGAACAAGTTACCTATAACTTGCTCTGATGCCAATTGTAAGTCTCAGAGTGCCTAAGAGGGGGGGGGGGGGTGAATTAGGTCTTATAAAATTTATTCGGTTTTATGAGAATATTTGTAGAACTTTTTGGTTAAGTGTTTGAAGGTTTTGATTATATCTTTATCTTTTCCTGATTATGGTGATGAAAGCGATAAATGCGGAAAAGTAAAGAACACGGTGATATATCCTGGTTCCCCTTACAATCCGAGAGTACTCCAGTCTCCTTTCCAACACGAAAGAGATTTCACTATAGTTAGAATGATTGTATGCTTACTATCTAACATATAGGGTGATCAAAGGTTCTTAACACCTTTAAGACCAAACAAACACTAATGTGAATGAAGAACAATCCTCTTCAAATCACAACACTTACTTCCAACAATCCTGGATAGTAAGGGAATAAATTCTTTAAGTAATACAATGATTGATTTGAAATATGTGGATAGCTTTATCAATCTTCAATTGATCTTCTTCTTCAAGATATAAACAATTCTCAAACAATGTATATAAATATTCACAATGTATGTATGAAACTTGTAATGATAATGAAAGTGTATATGGCAAGTTTCACAAAATTATGAACACATGAAAATATGAATTCAAATGTGAATGATGAAAAATTGTTTATTGAAGAAGTATATTTTTAATTTGAAAATTGAAGCATTCTTGTATGTTTTTTGAAATAAGAAAATCTGCAGCATTTTATAAAGTCACAAGAACCTCTTCATTCATGTCAATTCATATGAAAAGTTGCAATGCATTCATGAAAAGATACCACTTGAAAAATGTTCAAAAAACAAAAGAAAAGCTGTACTGGTTCGCTAGGAACCGGTTCCGACACTGACAGAACCCGGTTCTTAGTGAATGTTATAAGTCAGATTTCAAAAATTATTACGCATGAACCGGTTCCCCTATTGGTACAACCCGGTTCCTGGTACAAAAACCAGGGACATGTTTTTTTTGAGAAAGTCTGGAACCCGGTTCCCTGTTAGGGAGGAACCGGTTCCTAAAGATTTATTTCCAAAAAAACTTTTTGAAAAATATTTCAAATAGAGTTTTTCTTGATGTTAAAATTATGGGATATGTATATGTTGATGAATGCATATTTTTGTGAACATGTATATTCAAGATTAAGAATTATTTATACCATTTTGACATTTGATGATTCTTCAATAATTCTTCTATAATCTTTAAGACTTTTATATGATGTTGATAAGCTTTTTGCACATCCTTTGAATGTTGATATCCATGTTGTCTTCATCAAAACAAATGCTTTAAATATGACTTGAGAAGCTTGCAATTACATTCTCCCCCTTTTTGATGATGACAACCAAGTCTTGAAAATGATTCTTGAATTGTTTATGTTGTTTTGTGTAGCAAACATGTTGAGCAAATGCAAGGCTCCCCCTAAATTGTATGCTCCCCCTAAGTCCATGATTCCTTGAATTTTGGAGTGAGTATAATAGATATTTGGGCCTGCAATTTCTTTGAAAACAAAACAACACATATGCATATTCTTCTCCCCCTTTGTTAACATCAAAAAGGATGGGGAAAAAGAGTGAAACAAATACATATTTTAAAAAATAAGACGATAAAAACATATAAAAGAATTGTACGATTTTAAACATACTAACACACGAACAACGAATTGTACGATTTTAAACATACTAAAACACGAACAACGAATTGTACGATTACATCAAATAACAATGAAACAAAAGATAGAACATTGTTTAGACATTACAAAGTAAAAACACGAAAAAGAAATGACATAGAAATTAAATGTAAAATTTTTTAGTCTTCATCATCATTCATCTCATCATCATTTTCTTCACTTCCACTAACACTTCCGGATTCCTCTTCCTCTAGAACTTCTTTTCTATCAAAGTGATCAAGAATAAGCTTTTGAGTTCTTTGGACATTTCGTAGTTGACGCTGTGCAGAAGCATTTTCTTGTTGAAGCACATCAAAGCGATCATCCACATGTCTTTGGAAGATGGTCATCTGATTAAACAACATGTCTAAGGTGTAGCCGCCTTCGGGAGGTTGAGCAACATAGTGGACAGTTGGTTCGAAATCCTCTTTCTAGTGAAAATG